AATGATATGCAAACAGTTTATTAAGTTTTGGACATAAGTGATCACGTGTTGGTTACGTGATACTATATGATGGAATGACACACTTCTGTCAAAAAACTTAATAAATCGTCTGGTTATGGACCATTTAAACAAGAATTAAATATTTTAGGGACCAAATTAATAAAATTTATATATTAAGGACTAAACTGATAAAAAGTGTATATTTTAGAGACCAAAAATTTTATTAACCCTATATTTTATCTCTATTAACCTAACCAATTCTTAATTATAGTAAGCATTAATTAGAATATTGACAATTTTTTTTTATTTTATTCAATGAATTATAGGATGAAACATAATCAAATGAATTTTAAATGAATTATTTTATCTTTTTTCTTACAATAAAAATATAAATTTGAGATGATATTTAATGTTGGTACACATATACCTAATTCTTTTTATTAATATTTTGTATACAAAAACTATTCACGTACAACGCACGTGGTGTATTGCTAGTATATTTAAACTTCAATACCACATACCACATACCACATACTTGAAAAACTGAAGTTGTATGCAAGGAAGAAAACATGTTTTAAGATTAAGATTAAACAGAATAAAATAAAAGGCAAGCCCTAAACTCCTTTTTTTTTTATCTTCCTTGTGATGTGCATACGTTTCTTAATACTAGTAATGCGTGAAAAAAAATTAGATCATAAAATTTTGATTATATTTTTTAGAAATATAAAGTATATGAAGATGACAAAGCAAAATGCTATTGGTATATGCATTCAATGACTTCTTGAATCCAATAAGACTTTCTGGCATTACGACACAAGGCCAAGAAAATTCCTAAATATAATTTACTAATCTTAAACTATTCCACCACCACATGAATTCAAGAAGTGTGGTAACAAAACTAATTCTACTCATAATATAATAACAACTCCTAAAACATTACAAGTCTACTCATAATAAACAATTAAATATTATAAGATTAGTTTAATCTCCAACACATATTCAGCTCTTCATTCCATGAAAATACCTTTTTTTGGGTGTTCATTATCATTTTGATGGGAACACCAATTCAATCGAACACAAACTAATTTTAGTTCCAATTCCAAAAACTGCTACAAGGTAGATAGAGCATTTATGCAATGGCTATACCCAAATAGATGGAAAGCACAGTAAAAAAAATACCATATCAACAATAGGCATGTTCTGAGAGAGAAAAAAAAAAAAGCTTACAGGTTGACGACACCAAACACCATCGACCCACCAATCTGCACAGCCATAATATGTTTAATATCAAGGGGATAGAGATGTAAGACCACCAATTTTAATGAATTTTGAAGAAAAAATTTACTGCAGCGATATAAGGCCAAATAGGTTAATAGTGTTACCGGAGAGATAAGAGTCTATCTACCTATATATTTCTAATAAAAGAGTTCAAAATATTTTAGAAGTCTAACATGTATGAAAGAAAGAAAAATAAATGATTTTGATTCTTTACTCTTCTAATATTTTATTATAGTTGAGAGGACAACTATTTCATGCATCACGTTTGGTAGATGCTTCTTCAATAAATCTGTCATAGATTGAGTTAGTTTAATCCAGTTTATGAATTGTTGGTAGCTCCTTCATGCATCAGTATATGCTTCTTCAATAAATCTGTCATATATTGAGTTATTTTAATCCAGTTTATGAATTGTTGGTAGCTCCTTCATGCATCACGTATGGACTAGTTGTGTTTCGTTTAAACATTAGGTAAGACCGGATTAAATAATGTCGGTCATCCCTTACACATCTATTCGGTCATTAGATTAGATTAATTATAGTGATAATGTCTCTTCATCCTATGTTTGGTTCAATCATTAAGAAATAGTGGACCCCACATTTATCTCATTTAATACTTTATTTGAATGGAGTATTGACTGTTGGTATAATCATTAAATTACTAAAAAAAACTCTCAAAATAAAAAGTGATAATTATATCCAATAGACATTTGAGGGTAAAAATGTCTTTTGGCCAAATACATCTCAATTGAACTATTTAAATCCACAAAAAAAATGGATTTATTTTAGAGGTTGTATGTAATATTAAATATACTATTTATCCGGGCCGGTATTATTTTTAGGTGATAATATTGGGCCTAAAATGTGTATCCAAACATGGGTATAAAAGAAATAAGGTGGACTCGGCATTACCTTTTCCAATCCCTCTATGCTTATACCTAAAATATTGAAAACAATCCCTCTTTGAAAAAAATGCGACTAGGCTTAAAATATTATTATTTCAAAATTACAGTAGGATCTTTGGTTTAAATATTTAACTTATCTTTCATTTATTGTAGTTCTATGTAAGTCATGTCATATTAGAATTTGTTCAATTTATACCAACTTATTTGTGATCATGTGTGGCCGGATTCATGTGGTGTCGGGATTATGCAACGTATAACCCATATTTAGCATGTTTGTGTTAGACCCATTTATTTGATGGGTATGACGTGTCCAATCCTTTTTCACCCAAATTTACTATTATTAATACACTCTATCTTGTGAATTCCGTATCGATCTAACGCCAATTTCTTACCATTATTTTGGCTACATAAAAATATAGAAAAATGTAATGTGATTATACATCCAGGAGTAGGGCTAGTTTAGAAAAGTAGAGCTGTCCTAGTTTGACTCAATTATTGCGAATGGACCATATGAATTCAAATCATAATTGTGCAGGAAACATTATGAATTTAGACCCGAGTGGGGCTCGTAATGGGTTATGTCTTCTTTAAGTCGTGTAATATTGAAATTTATTTTTTCATAAATAATATATTTATAATTGCATCTAGTTATGTTCATGTGAACCTTTTACTAATCTATCTGACCAATTAACCCGTTACAAACTCATTAAACGTTGTATTTATTTGGCTTGTCCACGAGTTTAACCTTTTACCATCCGAACACACTAAGACTAAATCTCAACTCGCGAAATCTGTATCGATTTTATATCGAGTTAGTAAGATTTGGCTAGAATTTTGGGTAATAAACTCTGATTATTTCATTGAGTATGACGGCTCACTTCCCTGATGCCTACAAGAAATTGTCGTATCAATAGGAACTTGGAAGATATATCAGTGCTCCTCAAAGAAATTTGGCAGCCTTCTTGATGAAGTTAGAAGGTACATGTCTCATCTGCACATTCTTTCTTTACAACTTAGATGCATGAGTACTATAGTGTTAGTTAGGGTTGCACAATTGGGTGAATTGAGAGGTCAACTTGGGTTTAGTTCAGTTATAAAATTTTCTATCCGACTTTAGTCTGAATTTGACTACAAACTGAACTCTTCATATGTATAAACTCTTGGACTCGGGTTAGGCTAAAACTCGAGTTTAATAAAATAAAGTTTGATTGTAGGGCCACACTACTCAGATTAAATTTGGGTTCAACCCATCCTAACTCCATAATTCTGATTGGTTCTTGACATCTCAAAACTCAAATATTCGTATTGCCTGAATTATTGAGAAGAGAAATGTTACGTCATGGCGCATTTCTTCCTTAGACGGATTGATTTTTTTTCTTTTAATAAGAAAAGATGAATTTTAGTATGTTGTAGGGCTACGGCTAAGTAGGGCTCGTAATGGGTTGTGTAGCTTAAATAATAATAAAGACAAATTATAAATTTAAACGTTCAGATTTTGAATCTTGGTAACTTATTAAAACTAGATTATAAAGAATTTATTCCTCGTGATAGTCCAAACACACTAAAGGTCGAACAAAAAAAAACAGTAATGAGTTATGCCATGTGTAAGTCATATCATATCGACATTTATTTATGTCATGGACAGTCAAATTCGTGTAAACTCAATATTAAACTATTTGATTGTTCAACTATATACAAACCTTGTAACTACGTGTTGGATAGGCTGAGTTATAGTCTGTTTCAACTTTGATTTTTATAAAATAAAACAAAAAAACTAATTTTCTTTTAGCCGTAAGAATGAATTCTTTTGACTGAAGAGACAGCCACACAATCAGTGACGAATTAAGATTGGCATGGCCCCTCTCACATTTTTTAAAATTCGTATTAAGCCCCCATAGGTTTTCAAAAAACCCTACGCTTCCCTTTAGGATTAAAAATCTTATATATAAGGGGTATTTGATAATACCACTCAAGGATTAAAATTAAATATTTTAAACACTTAATAAATTAAACCCATTTGATAATATAAAATTTATGCTACTTAATATTTTAAGCACTTCTTAAAAATAGTATAAAATTTTAAGTTGCAAGCCACCTACTTATCACTTAATATTAAAAATATTAGTCAATAAATATTTTATCAATTTTTTATAATAGACAAATATACCCTCACCACCATTGTATCATCGCCACCACCACCAACATTATCACCACCACCACCATTGTACCATCGCCACCACAACCTTTACCACCATTGTTGCTATCACCGTCACCACTACAACTATACCATCGTCACCACCACCATCATCGTTGTTGCCGCTATCACTACCATTGTGCCATCGTCACTATCACCACCACTACCACTGCTATTGCCACCACCACTACCATTGTACCACTGTTGCCGCCTTCATCACCACCACCACCATTGTGTTGCCACCTTCATCACCACCATGACCAACACTACTATTACCACCATTTTGATGGTGGTGATAGAATTAAGACAATAGCAGAGGAATGATTAAAAAGAAAGACAAAATTAGAATAATAATAATTTTCAGACTTCAGCTACTTATATTTGTCAAATAGTTTGATTAAATTCAATACTTAAATTTCAGTTGATACCAAACAGTCTGAGAATTAAAAAATTTTACATTCAACACTTAAAATTCAACATTCAATTTTCGGCGTTCAACTTTCACTTTTATTCAAACATCTCCCAAGTAATTCACTTAATCATGTTAAATAAAATTATCGACTATACTACTGTTTTCCCTCCCTCTCGGAATGAAATGCTGGCGCTGTCCCTACACACAATCACGAATGGTTTCACTGTATAGGCTAGAAGGCAAAGTGGCAATGATAACTGGGGGAGCAAGTGGCATCGGGGAGTGGACTGCAAGACTTTTCTCGAAACATGGAGCAAAAGTGGTGATTGCCGATATCCAAGATAACTTGGGACTCTCAGTTTGCAAAGACTTGGGTGCAAGCACGGAGTGAGAATTTTTGTTTATTCAGTATTAAGGACCCATTTTTGATCAGCGATTTTGGCATATAGAACAAGCAAAATTTAAAACATATCATTTAATATTGGAGAAAAAACTCATTATAAAAATCAATCAAGCAAACCACAATATTAATGGAAAGACAAGCCAAAGGCAAAAAATAAAAAATAAAACAAAAATAGTAATCATGCAATATCAAATCCGAAACTTGTAAGAATTTCTTTGCATTTCAAGTCACCACCGTTGACAACAATCCCATCCAAATCAAATCAAGCTTCTGTTTAAACAAACCAAATTTAAATTTAATGAGATTGAGTAAGATAGAATTACAAAACTTGAGATCAATCACAATTTTTTAGTGTTATTCCCCACATTTCTTCAAATCACGACTAGAGCTCATCCTTTTGATAGTTCGACTGTAAAAAGAGGCTGAAAATCACACATTACATCTTAAAATCAGGTACTAGATTCTTCTTTTATTGTTTTCATATATACGAGCCACCAGATTTGCCAAAAAAAGTGTCTAGTTCTCGATCCCATAGAGGGATGAAAGCATAGCGACAAGCGAGATTCACTCAAAGGTTTTTGGCCAAAGAATATTCCAAATTATCTAGGTCAGGGTTTCTAGTCCTCAATCCTATAAAGAGATGACATTAAAGCGAGATCCACTCAGATTTTTGGCCAAATTCTATTCCAAATTATCAAGGCCAGATGGCCCAGATCCAACTTCCCAACATTTCAACTGCTTACTCAATTTGATCTTTGGAAATCACCCTGATCAATCTGGTTTTAGAAAATCTTATACTAAGACTATATAAGAGAGTTTTCCTCAAGAAAACTTTGGGTGAAGCAAATGAAAAGATCTGTACCTTGTCTGCTTATCGTTGTCAGTAGTATCTGCACCGCGTTCACTTCCAGCAAGAACGAATTGAAGAAAGATCATTCGGAATGCCGGTTTGGGTCCGGACTCTTCAGCCGATTATCAGTTATAGGAGGCTTGGATTGGGGGGTTGAGGTTTCAAGTGGAGTACCAAGGTTTTTTCGAGGTAAATAGGTAATGATTTAGGGACTGTCCGAATATGAGCTGAAAAATTAGGGATTCGTACGAGTATTTGAGGTTTATGAAAGAGGTTGGTTGAAGCGCAAAAACAACTATAGTTATGGCTATGCTGTGAAGTGTGGATACAGAGGAGGTGACTGTGAGAGAGGCCAGTCGCCATGGCTGAATTCTGGAGGAAAAGAAAAAGGAGAAGTGACAACCTGAGAGAGAAGTGACTGGCCGCCTGTGATAGTCTACATTGCCGGCGCGTATTCGGCATGATTTTGGGAAAGTGACTGGCTGAGAGAGACAGCCTGTGAGAGAGAGAAGAAACTGAGAGAAGAGCTTTGCAGGTGCCAGGCGGCATGGGTTGGATTAGTTGGGTTGAGTTGAATGAGATTTTTTTTGAGATAGACTGGTATTTAGTGGTAAATTTTTTTTTTTATTTACTCTGGACTTCAACTCATCTTAGCCCACTAGTAAATCCGCCCTTGCTTGGGTGGTCCCGATTCAGAATCTTCATTCTTTGTACATTGTGACGTAACCAATGAAAGCAATGCAGAAAACGCAATTAACACTGCCATTTCCAAATATTGGAAGCTCGACATCATGTTCAACAATGCCGGTGTGGTAGGCATTGCCAAACAAAACATCTTGGACAACACAAAATCAGAGAACGTTCGAGCAAGTGATAAGCATAAACCTAGTAGTAGGTCCTTTTTTGGGAACCAAACATGCTGCTAGACTGATGATCCCCAATCGTCGTGGCAGCATAATTACAAACGGTAGCGTTTGTTTGACTAATGGCAGACCTGCATCTCACGCATACACGAGTTCAAATCATGGTGTCATTGGGCTGCCGAGGAACACCGCAATAGAGCTTGGTCGACATGGCATTCGTGTCAACTGTGTGTCGCCCTTCCTTGTTGCCACACCATTGTCAAAGAATTTCTTCAAGCTCAATGATGAAGGTATCACTAGTGTTTATTCTAACCTCAAAGGGGCAGCTCTTGAGCTAGAAGATGGGGCACAAGCAGTCCTTTACTTGGTGAGTGACGATTTCAAGTTTGTGAGTGGGCATAATCTCTTAGTTGATGGAGACTTCACCATTGTCAATACTGTTTTCTCAATGTTTAAGCAGTCTGCATGAAAGTTAATTGCTATCCGTCATATCATGAAAGTTTAGTATTGTTCTATATAAGCTATTAAGAACCCCCAATCCATGCATGCCCGTCAGATCAACCCATGATTGAATTTCTAATAAAACTGTATTTTCTTAAAATTAAATGTTTCAATGTTGAATGTGAGGTGTTAGCGTGGGTTTTGTATATTACTTTTTGTTGTGATTTCACTTGCTTAGTTAAGCAGTAAGAGCCAAGAAATTTTCGCGTCCCATTTTCATGGGAATTTCATGTATTTTAATGCCCAAAGTGTAAAAAAAAATTAAACAATTTTTATCTTTCACACTTTTCGCATTCTCAAAGCTGAATGCCAATAGTCTCATATTCATACCTATTAGTCGCTATGAATGCCTCTAGACCAGGGTGGGGATACTCTAGCGGTTGGAAAATCAATTTTTAATATTGTTGCTAGTTATGATTAATATGGAACTATAATGTCGGCCCCTCCTCCATTTTCTCTTCAAAACATTTCAAAGGTCGCCTCCCAATCCTGAGGAAAGTAATTTCACCCTTTGGTCCAAATTAAACTCTTATTAGATAGGTCCTAGCAAAGCTTATATGCTCTATATCATTGTTCTATCAAGCAAAAAGGTTTTCTTATTTAAATTATTGTACGATGTCAAACTACTGAGTGGGAATAGAAAGATGCTCAGATTATTTCATTGCTATTGAAAAATATTGAGCTCAACATCAGTTTTACTTTACTTTATCTCGACACAACCAAAGAGATCTGGGATCACTTGACCACCATGTACTCTGACACTGGGAATTTCACTCCTACATATGAGGTGTGCAAACAGTATTTTTGCCTAGACTAGAGTACTCTGAGTCTTGAGAATTATTACTCTCATATTCGGGGAGTATGTGAGGAGTTGAAGCTCTACCACCCATTTATTACTGATGCATCGGTTTGGTAGAAGTAGCATGAAGATTTAAACGTTGTTCGATTTTTAATTGGTTTGAAACCTGAATATGAGTCTATTTGCTCTCAGATTTTTGGTAACTCTTGTCTTCCATTTCTACTGGAGGTTTTTCTCCCACTTATAGTGCGCTACCTTTTCTACTAGTTCATCCAATACGGAGTCTGGTGTGGCCACTGATCGTTCAACTCCTGTTGTCCCTAGTGGTCATAGTGATAGTTCCCGAGGTGGTCGTGGTAATCGTGGTGGAGAGGTCGTATTGACAGCCATACTGGAGGTCGTGGAGGGCGGTCAAGGTCTCGTTCATTCATTCACTATGCTTGTGGAGGCCACATTGTTGATTGTTGTTGGGATTTACATGGCAAGCCTTCGGGTGTTGCTAACCAAGTTTCTTATTAGGCTGACACCTTGATTATCGCCTCTATAGCTCGGTTGGTGCCACCTAACTCTAGGTCAGTTACTCTTACACGGGAAGAGTATGGTCAGTTCTTGTCTCAGCAACAAGTCATTCCATCTTCCTCTACTGCTACTTTTGCTCGGTTAGGTACCGTTTCTACTTGTTTATTGTCTTCCACTCACAGTCCCGAGATTATAGACTCTAACGCTTCTGACCACATGACTGGTGCGTCTGATGACTTTCCATCCTATCAGTCTACTACTACCACACACAGTGTTACTCTTGCTAATTATACTTCTTTTAAAGTTTTAGGTTAGGGGATTACTCAGTTCAGTCCTAATATGTCTCTATCCTCCGTGTTATTTGTTCATCAGTTTTCTTTTAGTTTCATTTCCATTAGCAAGATTTCACGTTTCCTTAATTATTCTGCAACCTTTTATCCTTCTTCTTGTGTGTTTCAGGATCTCAAGACGAAGAAGAAGATTGGTACGGGACATGAAGTTGGTGGTCTCTATTACTTTGACTTTGATTCACCTACTCGAACTCTACAGACCTCGTCATCTTCTTTTCAATGTCATTGTCATCTTCATCCCTCTCTCCAAAATTAAAGAGTCAAGTTCCATGTCTTAGTTATGCATCGTCTATATCTTGTAAAGCTTGTCAACTTAGTAAGTATCATTGTATGTCCTTTCAGTCAATAATCGTGTGTCTAGTTCATTTGAGTTAGTACATTCTAATGTATGAGATCCAATAAAGAATATTTCATCTAATAAATATTCTTATTTTGTGTCATTTATAGATGATTAATTCTCGTGTGACCTTGTTGTTTTTTATGAAAGCTTTTTCTGAATTATTCTCTATATTTGAGACCTTTCATAAAAAAATAAAAATCCAATATGGTTGTCGTATTCGTATTTTACATTCTGATAATGTTCAGGAATATGAATCTGATCCCTTTTTAGCTTATCTTAGTAAAACTGACATTATTCATCAAATTTCATGTGCTTACACCTCTTAATAGAATGGTGTAGCAGAGAGCAAGAATTGTCATCTGTTAGAAATCACTTTTGCACTGTTATTCCAGATGAATGTTTCCCATTATTTTTGGAGTGATGTTGCTCTTACTGCTTGTCATCATATTAATCGTATGTCATCGTCTATGTTAAATGGGTAAAGTCCATATTCTGTCATTTTTTCTGGTAAACCCTTATTTTCTTTAACTTCTAAGGTCTTTGGGTATGTCTGTTATGTTCATAACTTAGACCCTGGGTTTAATAAACTTGACTCTCGTGCTATCAAATGCGTCTTTCTAGGATACTTTCACACACATATGGGATGTCACTGCTATAGTCCTTTCCTTCGTCGATACATCACTAGTGTTGATGTCACTTTTGATAAATCTATTTCGTACTTTTCAGCACCTACTTAGCCTTTGGATTTGAATTTTGGATCGTCCCTTATACCTCCGCCTCTTCCCTTACCATCAGATATTTTGCTGCCCACTATACAACCATCTACTTTTCTACTGTGTGTATACTCTCGTCGTCCTCGACCATTGACTGAAGTGCTCGTATCATCTTCCTTGTCATCTCCTCAGCCTAGTCCATCAGATAATTCCAACTCTTTATCTATTGCTCTTTGAAAAGGTACTCACTCGTGCGTTACTAACCATCTTAATACTCATTTTGTTTTATATGATGCCTCGTCTCCTGCTTTCTCTTGTTTTATCTCTTCACTATCTACTATCTCTATTTCTAAGCATTTACAGAATGTATTGTTTGATCCAGGTTGGAGGAAAGCTATGGAGCTGGAGATTGATGTCTTACATCATAATAGGGTTTGAGATCTTATTCCTTTACCTCCTAGTAAGTGGACTATGGGGTGTTGTTGGATGTATATTATTAATTTTAATTCGGATGGTTATATGTAGCATCTCAAAGCTCGTCTTGTTGCTAAGGGTTTTACTCAAACCTATGATGTTGATTATAAAGTGACTTTTCTCTCTCGTTGTCAAAATCTCTTCTGTTCGTATATTGATTTCTTTGGCTGTTGATCTTAATTGGGCCTTATTTCAACTAGATGTCAAGAATATCTTCTTGCATGGTGACTTGGTTGAAGAGGTCTATATAGAGCAGTCATCTGGGTTTAGTACTCAAGGGGAGTACTGTAAGCATGTGTGTTGGTTAAAGAAATCTCTATATGGTATAAAGCAATCATCGATAACATGATTTGGTAAGATTTCAGATATAGTTTTAAAGTATGGTCTTCTTCGATGTTAAACAGATCATTCTGTATTTCATAGACAAACAGATAATAGATATGTTCTATTTGTGGTTTATGTAGATGATATTTTGATTACTAGAAATGATTCTAAGGGGATTGTCAAGTTAAAAACCTTCTTACAAGACCAATTTCATACTAAAAACTTAGGAAAACTCAAGTATTTCTTAGGTATTGAGGTTGCGAGATCTAAATAGGGTATTTGTTTATCCTAGAGGAAATATATACTTGATATACTAGAGGCAGTAGGTTTGTTGGGTGGCAGATTAATTAATGTTCTTATGAATCCGAATTAGAAATTATTGATGGATAATGGTGCACTATTTGAGAATTTGGGTTAGTATCGCAAGTTGGTTGGGAAGCTCAATTATCTCACTATCACCCGACTGGATATTTCCTGTGCAATTAGTATTGTAAGTTAGTTTATGGGAGGCCCTAGAGTACCACATTAGGAGGCAATTACTCATATTCTGCAATATCTGAAATGTGCTCCTAATCTTGAGTTGTTATATCGAGCTAATGACCATCTTAGAGTGAAAGATTTTTCAGTTGTTGATTGGGCCGGCTCTCCTTATGATCGGAGGTCAACCACTGGCTATTATAATTTCTTAGGAGGTAAGATTGTATCTTGGAAGAGTAAGAAACAAACCGTAGTGGCAAGATCCAGTGCTAAGGCTGAGTATAGAGTAATGACTCATACAACTAGTGAGTTGACATGACTACTACACTTTCTTTAGGAAATTGGCTTTCTAGTTCAGACAGTTATTCTAAAATTGGCTTTATAGTTGTTTTGTGATAATCAGACAGTTATTCATATTGCTGCTAATATAATATTTCACGAAAAAACCAAACATATAGAGGTTGATTGTCATTTGATTCGAGACAAGATAGTAGTTGGAGATATTACGACTCCACTTATAAGATCTAATGATCAACTTGCGGTATGTTTACAAAAGTATTGAGTCGTACACGTCTTACAACCATTTGTTTCAAGCTTGGATTATATGATATGTATAGTCCAGCTTGAGGGGGAGTGTTAAGACTATTAGAGAATTATATAAATATTAGTTAGTTGTATTAAGTATACCACTATAGGGTATATACGTCTTTTGTATGGTTACGAGTTAAATATAAATACAAGGGGTTTATGAGAGATAGGTTATGTTTTTTGACCACTCTCTATCTTTCTCCAATATTGGGTTAACTCTCTAAACTTAACACAATGTAATTCAATTTTGAATTTTATGTAATTTAGTTCATACAATCCAAAATGTGAGAAAACTCTTGAGAAACAGTTTTCCCACGTCAGAAGTGTCACTTTGTGTAACCGTCTATTAACAAGGGAACAAGTGGACAAGTGAACCTCATAAAATTCAATAACCATCTCCATATAAATATAAAGAAAATTGGTTCAATTTATTTAATTTTTTTATAAAAAGTCAAAATAGTTGAAAAAAAACGCACGCGTGCACCAACTAATATATTGAAAAAGTACGAAATTCACAATCGTGTTAATTGAAACTACTATGAGAAGAAGAGATGTAAAAACAAGGAGAGTGTCTAAAAAAAAGAAAAGAAAATATGCATTTTGGACACTCACTAATCCGTTATACATTCATTTAGAAGATACATTAGGAATTCATGTAGAGCTCTATTAATCTTTTTAATCTAGACAAATTCCAAATAGTGTCTAAGTTTTGTCTCACACACATTACACTTGAATTGATCAAATATGCAATATTTAAATATGTGTGAGTGAAATTGAACTAAGTGATAGGACATTGCCCTAAGATGCATGAAATTGAGTTCTATATTCATTAATGTCTTAAAATAACATGTGTGCTTTTCATGATTGATGATGTTATGCGTTTATTGTTAAATTTTGAAAATTGCATTACAGTTTTGACCCGTATTTCATTCATGCATATGCGTTTAGGTGCATTTAGATTGTACATACATCCATGTGTGTTTTGGAGGCTCATTGAGTTGATACAAGGATTAGTCTAGGAGTCATAGTGGTCCATTGGTGAGCTGATAGCTAATCTGTCAATTGGATATATATGCTTCAAGGACCGCTCAAGTGGCCTATACATGGATCGAGAGGTCTCTGAAGAGTAGGGTGATAAGACTCTAGACTTCCATTTCTTCATTCTAACATAAGTCAAACCTCTTCATAATCTAGTAATCACATAATCTTAAGAAAAACAGAGGAGGAAGAAGAAGAAGAAGAAACTAGCCTATTTGATAAAGAAGACAAAGCCTAGGGAAGATGACTTGAAGGTCCTGATATGGTAATGGTGGAGATGATGCGGTTGTAGGAGCTGCTTAGGAGACTTAGTATAGGATCATATGGGAGATTTGAGAGTGATTTTATTCATTCATAGTCTTGTATTAAAATATTCTATTTTTCTTTGTTGATTTTTACTTTTGTTTATCAAAGTAATTTTTCAAACTTACACGTAAAAGTTTTTTACCATTCTATCAAGGGTCTCATGATCCCACCAGTAAAGACATATCGAGGTGATTTCTGGACATTCTCCTTTGCCATATCCCAAAAGCAAGAAAAAACTCAAAGTTTCCATCTTTCACTTCTGATTTCTTGAAGGCCAACATTAATAAACATTTCAGCTTCGTTTGAACCAAATATTGGGACCTTCATGTGAACCCTCAATTTGGAAGCGTAAATCCATTGCTTGTTTTAAAATTGTAAGATAAAATTAGTACAATTGATTTAGTTTTTTTAACATTTTTGTCAAAATTAAGAAAAACTTGTACATTTGATTACTTGGAATTGTTGAATAGAATTTGATCTTTGTGAATCCACAATCGATTCAGAGTTTAAAAATGGTTGGTACCAACACATATCAAAAAGTTGAGAATAGCACTTTCACCCTTTCTACGAGGCTGAAAATTTCGTGGAATTGAATTTTTGAATGGACTAACTATGTACCTAAAATTATAAGGTTTTCTAAAAACATGAGGTTTAAAACTTAGATATATTAGATTTATTGTTGGGTTCCAACCTCACACGCCGACCCTAAACCTAGACCTCAATCTCAGCTTTAAAGGCTAAACTTGACATCATATCCTTGCCCTGGACTTGAACTTGAACCATGAACTTGCACACGAGCTTGCCCAAATCCAAAACTTCGTAGACACATAGAGGTGGTGGTAATGATGGTGATTGAGAGCGATGGTGGCAGGGAGTAGTGGTGGTTGATAATAAGTAATACCACTTTTATGAAGGAATGACTAAGCATGCACTAGTAGAAGTAGGAATTCGGTGGTAATGAGAATTGATTTCTATTAATACAAATTAAACATTGGAATGGGTATTACTTACATTCTCATGCTCTATTATCACCAACCGAACACAGTGGAACATCTCTTGTTTCTCAACAATATTCACTATCTATAATTCTTTCATAGATTAAAATTTTATTTGCTCTAGATGTTAATAATTTTAAATAGAAAATCCTTAAATTTTTGCAAGACAAATATAAGGTCATAGAAAACAAAAAAAAAACAAAATATGTCGAATATTTCCTTGACCAAATACTCATTAAACAAACTTTTAATATTACAACTAAATAATTCATGTCTTAAACTAGTCTAAATCTCAATTTTTCTATCTAATGTTAGGAAGTTGAATTATCTATTTATAAAAGTAGAACAACGGTTAAGATTGATTCAATTTTCTTATATTTGAATCCAATAATACATAATTCATCCACCAAAAAAAAAAATGAATCACTCAAAAATATTATATTTTTTGCATCACCCAATGTCATCAATCCACACATTCCAATCTCATATTTTCTCTCTATTCACTTTAATTTTAAATTACATAATTAAAAAAAATATTATTTAAAATATCAATACTCAATTTTGAATGTTACAGAGTGTCTTCAGCCATAGTGTTATTGGTAGTATTCATATATTCAACAAACTTTTTTTTTTTTCCAAATTTGTCGGAACATAGCTCTAATAGCATTTGTTGGTTTTGTATAACAAATAATTAACACAAATAATACTTGTTGGAATATAAGAATTCAAAGATAAGAAACAAATAAAACAAAACACAAAAATATAAAGCAGTTTGATACAACGTACCCACCTTGGTGCATCATATCTATATCTACGGACTAAAAACTTATAACGGTGTATTATTTATTGAAAAATTGGTTATCTGATAAGTGAGGCAAAAAATACATCTAAAATATTGTAACACAAACTTATTCAAATATAATATAATTTTTATTTTTTTATCACATATCTAATACACTTATTCATGATATATTAAAGCTCTTCCAATATAATTTTTTTTCATAAAATATTTTCACATTAATTACTCAATAAATCCTTTTTCATAACAATTAGAGAGTTTGAATTAAATTTCAAACAAAATTTGTAACTAAAAATAATAAATGCATACAGTGGAACGAGCCCTCATTGGTGAATGAATGCCGAGAATTCATTGGGGATAGGTTCCGTGGACAATGTGACACTGGAAAATGCAACTATGAAAACCTAAAGTCGGAATATACCATAATAATACCATCTAGGGTTTTCTTAAACGACCATATATATATACTGAAGCACATCATACTTAAATCCTCCCTTCGCGAGTTCAAGGTTTCTGTCCGCCCCTTCACTGAACAAAGGTTTCAGCCTCTCTCCTCTCTCTCCCACATAATCACACACATCAATCAAACAATGGCTGTTACCTTCTCAGATCTTCACACCGAGTCTGGTCTTAAATCTCTCGATGGATTCCTCTCCGGAAAGACCTACATCTCTGGGTCCGTACTCTTCTACTGTTTCTCAAAATTTTCTATGTGTGTGTGTGTGTGTGTTGATTTTCTTCTTTGGTTTGAATTACAGGGACAAGCTTACAAAGGATGACATAAAGGTGTATTCAGCGGTTCCTGAGAAGCCCAGCGGAGATCTGTACCCAAATGCCAGTCAGTGGTACGACTGCATTTCTTCGAAACTCGCCGCAAGGTATGCCCAATTTTCTTTTCTTTTCTTTTTCTTTTTATCGATGCCCTTTTATTATAGAATTCTTGTCTTTCATATGCTACTTACTGTGCCCAATATTGTACTTCAGTTTTCCTTCTCTGATGCATCCCAATATTAGAGTTTAGTTTGAGAATATTCAAATTTGTGAGAAGTTTGAAAATAATTTTTTTTGAATTTGAGTAAAATTGTGAACTAAATGTTTCATGTAATATAATGTTAGAGCAACTCCGATCATGCCTCAAATTTAAAGTCAAATTTGAGTGAAAAACTTGATTTGATATAGGCCACTCCAAAGGGCAAAATTAAATACCTACTCAAGTCGTTTAAAAAAATTTATTACTGTCCCAAACCTCATTTGTTTTTTTAATTTTTCCCACCAAAATATTTTATCCAATATTAAAACTTATTTCTTACAAACTTCACTAATATTAACCAAAAGAAAAGTAAGGATACCAACCTCTTTAAGTGGTAGATTCATAAGTTTTTTACTGAGAGAAAGAGTAAAAAGTTACCGTTGAAGAATAGAGGCAGGAATAGGCGGTGTGGTCGGCGGTAATGGCAGTGGCTTTGAAGATAGGGGCAGGGGAGGTAATAACTTATTCCGTTGAAGGAATTTTTTGGGTTTGGATAAGATAAAAAGTAACCATTGGAAATTTGATATAGGATTTGAGTCTCCCTCAATTTGGATCTAGAATAAATTTTTTCTTGATTTAGTGTAAGATTTTTCATGTTGTTGTGGCTGCAATTTTAGAAATTGGGTACTTTTTTGACATGAACGAATTTTAGAATATTTCCATTGGATATGAATGATGTTATTTAACATGTATTCAATTTGTCTTGAAAAATTGAAGTGAGAAAGTATTGCGGGGCAAGGTTTGGATCCAAAATTAAGGTCAGCCATTTAGTGTAAATATTTGCCAAAAAATGAGGTTTCTCCCGTCTATCACTTCTAGCACCTTTCATTAATGGGACTTTAAGCACGTTAGTTTTGTTTCTTAGTCTCAAGCATGATACTATTAGAACAGTTATATATACCTTTGTTTTTGCAGTCCTTTCAAAAAATCTTTCAAAATCTGGCTTGTTCAGTTGCAGTTTCAATTATCTCATCTTGCTTCAGAATATTCTTGGTATTGGCCTTAAATTTGATGTCCTTTTTTTTTCCCTGTTTATACCTTGAATTTTTTGCAGCTTCCCTGGTAAAGCTGTTGGTGTGAGAATAGGGGGCCAAGCTGCTGCGGTTGAAGCTGCTCCCGCCAAGGAAGCTAAGGAGGTGTGTATCAAAGTTATTTTTAATGATATCCTATGATATATGTTATCAGTGTAGTGGAACACAATCCATTTCCACGCCTTCCAATTCTCTGGTGACTTGAGGAATGAGAAATGTGGTCCTTGGCCAAGTAAGAACTGAAAATGGGCATTAAATCAAAATTGCAGACAGAGTTTGTCTTAGTTAATATCAATGTTGTGAACCCTAACTGTATACTCTAAATCAGTTAAATTTGACTTATTTAACTTTGTTGAACCATCTTACCGAAAAAAAAACTCCGTTGAGCCACATAATTGATCTCTCTACTCACTAAAACACCTACTGATTATGAACCTTTTACAAACCAAGTAGCTATAAATATAATTTGTTATATTTTCTTTAAAAAAATTTATATTACTGTTAGATTATTATTTTTTGATGAATTGAATAGATGCCATGTGCTATTGTCCAATCTTGGTTGAAACTTGTGCCATGTTTATTTGGAAAGCAGAATTGCCAAATACTCGCATTAGGGAAACTTCCTCTTCTCTTCTCCAGCTAATGGGAAACAACAAGGTCTGATACGACTTGGCCACCGCTGATCCAATAATGCTACACAGTACGAGAATAACTCAATATTAAGGTGAATCAGTCTTGACTTGGTCACGACTCGGAGATACCGAACTAACTCGGATTTGAATTGTTTGACTTGAGCCAAGTCTTATCGATTCAGATCGAGTCAGACCCAATTGTTTGCTGATCTACATGCTGGAAACAAACCAAAAGAAAATAAGACCCAAAGATGCATAAGTTACATCCAACTCATCAATTATACAACGCTAAGATAGAAGAAGACAAGACCCAAAGATGCATAAGCCACATCCAACTCATCAATTATTCAACCCTAAGACAGCAACATAGAGACCCACATGCAAGGGAAGGAGTAAACAAACTCTAAAGAAGGAATTGACGGGATTGGGAAGAAAAACTTGAAAAAATCAAATACAGAAAGCCCTTTCTTTTTCTTCTATCCCACATCAAAGCAATCTGCCCTCATCTTTTCTTCATTGGAAGCAACACCAATCAACGATTCTCTCCTCCCCAACTTTAGTCGTCACTCTCTCTCTGTATCACGTATCTCTTGGAGTCATTGTCTTAGACTCCCCCTAGAGTATAAAACCCACAAATAGTAGAGTTATAATTATACTAATTGTGTAATAGTATTATTATATGTTACAAGTGAGATTCTTGGTTTGTTATTTAACATTTATAGTAAATTCTACCTTATTAATATATACATACCTAATAGATTTCGTGATTGATATAATACATATTTAATTTATATATACTATAAAATTTCTTTTTTATGTTCTTATATGTAAATTAGCATAACTTTGTAATAATTTGTTTATTAATTATTAAAAAAAATCTAAATTACATCAAATTTTAATTTTTCCTTATAGTGAAAATTACTTACCTAGTTTGTTTTATTAACATAGGGACAATAATACTGCTTTCAAGTCCTATAGATTTGAAACATATGATGCATGAGTGATCTTGTTTATATTTTAAAATTTTGTTTTGTGATTTTTTGGGCCTTCTACCAAACATTTTGTGCGTATCGACCGATATTGAGCTACGATCAATGTGTATCAGTGCATTTCGAGTCGATGGCTGATACCGCAACTTTGAACCATGTGAGACAAAGCATTAGTGATTGAATGGACAAAGGGGCAGATGGTTTTCCTTTGATCTTTTTTTTTTATTTTACCCCCGGTCACAAAAATACATGTTTGGATTAAGAGCAAGTATTGAGATAATGTTACTTTGATAAAATAAAAAGCAATGCTAGGAAGAATTTTTTTTTAAAAGTGGATTTTAGTAAAGAAAAGGTGGATTCTTAAGTAGGTCTTTCTCTATTTTTGGATTTGAATTTTACTTTTTAAAAGTATTACTTTTGATGGTTAGGGTTTCTTAATCATTGAATCCTTTATTTTTCTTATACACAAAATATGGTTGTGATGTCAAAAAAAAAAAAAAAGATCAATAGAGCATGTGGACAGTTTTTTGTGTCTGTAATTAGTAACTTCTAGTAACTATCTACACTGGCTACTTGCAATTCTCTCTGTGTTAAGTGCTGCTTGATAATCATGATGGTATTGGGACTTAAAGAGGGAAGGGCAGTGGATGTTTTCGTAATGAATATTTACTTCTTGGGATTTGAGTATATCTGTATATGCATGTAGTGGGTTTAGTGGGGTATATGTGTGACATGTATTGGTTATCGAATAATGTGGAGGGTAGACACAGGTAACTTCCAAGTTTTATCACACTACTTGTTGAATGATATTTGTTCGAGTTGAATTGTATTTTGTGATTGAATGGTTCTGTGTGGTTGTTTCCTTATTTTATTTTCTTCAGAAGAGTTGGTTGGATTGTTTTTTGCAGACTTAGGGTTTGTTTGTTAACCCAAATTTAACACTTAAAATAAATGTATTTGACACTTATTAATTAAGCTCGTTTGATAACTAAAATTTCAACTTTCTTAATATGTTAAGTTCTCTATTAAAATAGGCTACAATATTAAGTAGGAGATCCCTTACTTAATTCTGAAAGCTGAAAGTAAAATCATATTTAATAATATTTATAATATGATAATTATATCCCGAAATATTTTACAATCCTATTAAAATTCTAATTATTGTTATTTTTATCCTCCTTGTCAATCGTCTTCTTCAGATAATAGGTGTTATGTTCTTCTTTTTTCTTTTTTTTTTCTATGCTCGTCCGCAACAAATAAATATGTTAAAACACACATTCATGTTCACTGCACACCCACACCCACACCCACACCCACACCCACACATGCAATGTACACACACACCCCCCCACCCAAACTACCCACACACAAGCACAAATTGCACACACACACACACATATTATTAATGTGATTTAATTTATTCTATTTTTTTAATTCAATTATTTATTCATTTATTTATTTTTATTTATTATTGTTCGATTATTTATTAGTTATTATTTTTTTTATTAAATGTTATTGTTCACTTATTGTGATTCGATTATTTATTTGTCATTATTCTTTTTTTTTTTTTTGATCAGATGGTATTATTCAGTTATTGTATTATTTAATTTATTATTGATTTGATATGTTGTCATTTTTTATTAGATAAAAACATATTTTATAAATATTTTTAAATAAAAGAGTAGAAGGGTAAAACTGAAAATTATTTATTTTCAGACGTCAGTTCTGTGTAGTTATCAAATAGTTCGGTTTAATTCAGTACTTAAATTTCAGTAGATATCAAACAGTTCATAAATTCAGTATTCAGCTTTCAGATTTCAGCTTTTCATTTTCAGATTTTAGCTTTCAGTTTTATCAAACACCACCTGTTGTAAGTTATTTAGGCCCTTGGATTGAATGTGAAGCAAATGTTCAAAAAGTGGTAGGGAATGGGGACATGCCTCCTGAAATGGAAGTGAGAATTTGAACATAGATTATTGTGTTAGGTTACTAGCAAATGTGTATCATGGTTTGGGTTTCTATCATGACCTTTAGCTACTGTCTGACTTATTCGAATTAAAATTGTTGATTTTGTTGGTAGAATCCTTTTACTGATTTATAGTTTGTAAGTTGTGTTTTTATGCTCAAAATTTCTTTTGAAATTTATCTTTGTATCGTGCTTTGTACTTGAAAAGGTTTCCCCTGTTGAATCTGCCAGGAATCTCCTGCAGAAGACGATGATGACCTTGATCTGTTTGGTGATGAGACAGAGGAGGAAAAGAAGGCAGCAGAGCAGAGAGAGGCAGCAAAACCAGCAAAGAAGAAAGAGAGTGAGTTTCTTTGGATGCGAATACTTGAAATGAAGTGTTTTTTTGACTACTTAAAGCGACAAAGCATCTTTTTTATGCTTTGGCATGCGGTTTTAATTTGAAGTTTAGAAAGTTGAAAGTTCTACAGGCAATAGGGCAATGATTTCCATGTGCAGCTTTTTTTTTTGGCTTTTTTATCGCAACAAGTACTCTACTCCACACCCATTGGTTTTCCAATTTCTTCTGATATGCAATCACATGTCTAGGTGGGAAGTCATCTGTACTTTTGGATGTGAAGCCTTGGGATGATGAGACAGACATGAAGAAGCTCGAAGAGGCTGTTCGCAGTGTTGAGATGCCGGGCCTCTTTTGGGGAGCATGTACGGTTTGATTTGTGTTTTTTTGGACACCTTTTTGCTTTTGCTTTGTGCACAAAGCAATAACTTGTACACACATTCCCCCCCCCCCCCAAAAAAAAAAAAAAAAAAAACACCCCACAACACTAATTGGCCTTTCTTGTTTGACTGAAACCTTGTAATTTCATGCATTTGTGCAGCAAAACTCGTTCCTGTTGGTTATGGGATAAAGAAACTGCAGATCATGTTGACTATTGTCGACGATCTTGTCTCTGTGGATTGTCTCATAGAAGAGCGTCTCACAGAGGAGCCCATCAATGAATATGTCCAGAGCTGTGACATTGTTGCCTTCAACAAAATTTGAGAGCAACAGGCATCCTTCCAGTCCTAGCCGCTTCAGGGCAGTAATTTTGTTATTTGCATTACTAGTGATACTTATTTTGTCTTTCATTCATGGTTTGGTTTGTCGTCGTGGTTTCATATGTTCCAAAATGTATGGATCTTCCTGCTGCCCGATGTTCCATGTCAATGGTGATCCATCTGAACCATTTGATGCAAATGGTGTTGAGTTGCATATTGAAATGAGCAATGTGACTGCCTCCACTTTTTCAAAACAGCAACCCCTGTTTACTGTTGTTTGTTTGTGTGGTTAATGTTATGGCTGTTTTAGAAGGGTAAAATCCATTGGAAGGCAATGAGTATGCAAGCTAAATTAGAAGTAAGCTTTATTGTCTTACTAATCTGTTACGTCTGTGAAACTGTTATATGCATGTGGTGTATAAGCCTGGATTAGCCCAACACAGTTTGAAAGCACAAGCATTATATGTTCTGCTGCTCATAATCAAGTTGAGCTTTACAATTTTGGTTCAGCTGAAGTGACTGACAGGATGGCGCAGTCAATTGGGCTGACTCATTGGAGCTCATTTGTTTATAGAAGGTTAATCAATCGTGACTGAGGCTGCACTGGACCTGCTTAGTGAACCTTGCAGGAAAACAGTTGCCTGAGTATTCGTATAATCAGAGTATTTACCAAATTATTGTGATTTCACAATTTTATTCTTCTTTTATGGTAATTACTTGCATAAAAAGACTCGTGTTTAAATCATATATTTATGAAAATTGTGATATCTTGGAAAATAAGTTAAAAATTAATGTAAAAAAATTACAAAATCACAATAATTTAAGAATTAATTTATCCACCAAATTCAGTAGACTCTGCATGCATGGGGCAAAGCGAGGGATCTAGATCCTCTCTAATTTGTTTTTTTAATTATCTTTTTATAAATTATTTATTATTGATGGGTGAGAAATTACGGTAAATGACATCTCGAGACACAAAAAAAAAAGGTATTGGAGGATGAATTAAATTTTATCATCTCAATCTATGACCACGATTTCACCTTTTGTCTTTGACTATTTCTTTGATCATGTTATAACATTAACCATTTTATTTTATACAATTATTTAAATCTTCAATCTACAAAAGTCGTTAAGTTTTGGACAAAAATAATCAACGAGACAATTTAAAATGATTAATGGTGCAATTTGGTCGGACCAACAATTAAGGGATAAAGTGAAACTCAAGATCATAAATCAAGAATATAAAGCATAATTTTTGAAAGAAAAAAAAAATTTGAGGAATCCTGTAAAGTGAAACCACAAAGAAAAAAGAGATCTATAATGAGCATTTATCTTCTTTTTTTTTTTTTTTGTCCATTTCCTTTTCTATACATTAAAGAAGTTTGAGAAACTGAAACTGTATTCATAAGATTTATCATATCTCTCTGTTCGTATCCGTATCCGTATTTCTAAATTTCTAACTTTTTGTCCTTTCCCATACATTAAAGAAGTTTGCAGCTTGACCTTCTCCAATAATGTGTTTACACCTTTTTTGTATTTCTAAGTTTGTCTCTTTACATTTGCCATACATTAAAGAAGTTTGTGGCTTCACCTCATCCAACAATTTTTTATCCTTTCCTTAATCCAATGGTAGACTTCAATCAGCTGGCCAAGGAGGTGCATTCTGTTGGCCTCCTTGAGCTGCAAACAATAGGTCTTGAAAAACTTCACTGTTACATGGAGTCTGAAATGTAAACTTACCAAGAATGTTGACTCCGTCTTGTTCATCTCTCCAATGCTCACTCCTCCCACCTTGGCATAAGGAGCATTTGGACGACATCTGCATTAAAAACATGTCGTTTATAAGATTATTTGCAGTGGTAAAGAGTCCGCAATGTTGCCTATATGCATTCCAAGTTTATGTAGCAATAATGAATATAAAAAATATATGTGGTCGGAATGATTTTTGGTCAAAAACAAATCCCAAGCGACCTTGGATGTGAGTGCAGAGATGAAATGTTGTCAGACTTTCCTTTGGGAGGAGAAAAGGGGATGAAGTTGAAATCCACAACCACCTGATAATCTCTTTCACCATGACTAAAAATAAGCAAAAAATAAATAAATTAGCCAATCAGGGACAGAATGGATTAGGTTTCATATTGTTGTAGATCATATTTCTTTTCAAGCACTTTTCAAATAACTAACTTATTCGAGTTGTAATTTAGTTTGTTGCTCATCGATTAAAACGACAGAAGAGATAACCACGATACAAATGCATTTCTTTGACACTAGTTGTTTCACATGTGCGTTGCACATAAACCATTTTGAGTTATAATTTTATTTTTATATTTTTAGCTTTGCTGAAATTATATAACAACTATGTTATCAAATATATGCTTATGAATCAAGATATAAAATTATAATCCAACTTTTAACTGATGTTTTCGAAAGTATCAAACATAATCTTTAGAATGTAATGGAATGAGGCCTCTAGCTAATATCATGGGAGTATGCTGCTATCTTAGAACTATCTCTATATAATATTGTTTTACCAAAGTTATGTGATATAATGTCCTGTTATAACCAGAAAAATAAAAAGAAACAACATATAGACAGTAAAAATAGAATTCTCTTACTTAGATATATTTTTCTATATATTCAATGGCCTATTTTATGATTTCATTACTTCGTAAAATGGAGAAATAAATCTAATGGCCTAGTTTCAGAAGCATTCGACAGTGGCTTAGTAAACACTATGATGCATGCTAAACATTGGATTACTTATAAATTTTTGTGCAGAATAGCTGCAAATGTCACAACAAAATAATTTTTTTTTTGTGCAATATATGCTTAGTGTTATGCATACTATTGCATACTAGTGGCAAATGTGTTAGTATATGGGGGTGTTTTTTGTTTACCTGTGCAAATACTACATATGTATTTTAACACTTCAAATACTATTTATAGGACAATGTATATTCACACATTTAAACACCATTCATACTACATAGAACAAAACATTAGATTTGCGAAACATTCTAACCCAAAACATTAGTCTGCTCTGCTTCATTCCAAGCAAAAATTACAACACTAAAATAATAATTACAACTGGCATCAACATCTTCATGCATTGTAAAGATGCCATCAATTGACCTCACTCTTGTGGCTAAATCATTCAGTTCAACGTTTGTCTCTGTGTTGTGATGCCTCATTCCATACCCTTCATGTTGGGGGATCATTGGTACACAGATATCGGATGACACCATGTAAAATATCTGTCGGACTTCTTTTTGCAATTGTAATACAGTCTTCCTTTACTGACCTTCTTGAATTCTACTATCTTAATCATAGTTTTTTTCTAAAAAAAAAAATGTTTTATAACTATATCTTATGTCAAACTCCTCCTCCCCTATGTCTCTGCCTCCACCAATAGTTGAAGAAAACATCAATCCTACATACATACATCACAACATAATGACATAAATTCAAAATTATCAGAAAATTATATACTTAGAAAAAAATAAAAATTTTCAAAAATCTTAGAAAATTATATACTTACAAATTTCTGAAATTTTTGAGAAATTTTTTTACCAACTTAAAGTTCAACTCATCATAAATCTAAGATATTGCATGAAAAAATAATAAAAATTCATAAATATCAAAAAATTATATATTTAAACATTTCTAAAAATTTAACAAATTTCTTATCAACTTAATCCTAAACCAATGCAGCAACTGCTCACCATTAAAGAACAATGGCTAGTTGCAAGCAAAATTAGCAATTACTCAAGCTTCAACAATTGGTATCAATATTTGAGATCGTTATTGCTGGCTTAGAGCAAAGGATTGAGGGCATTTTAGTCTATTAACATAACAAATGATAAGTTTGACATTTTCAAAAATATGTAATCAACTTGTGCATTTTTTTTTATTTTCAAAGATAGGAGTTAATTTTAGGGGTGTCAATGATTCAATAGTACAAATAAAAAAAAAGAGCAGTGAAATTTCAGAATCTAGAAAATCAAGATATCATTGAATTTAAACATAACTACAAGAAATGTGGCTGATGTTTACCCAAATTTTTGGAATAAAATGTTGAATATTTGTTAGAAGTTGATGATTCTTCGAAACTAAAAGAATGACTTATTGGTAATTTGCCCTTTTAACTATGTGTTTGTGTATTGAGGAGAAATTCCAAATTTAAGGGGATAGAATACAATTGTAAAAACAATAAAAGTAAGGAATGAGGGTTTTCAATGAATTTGGTTGGTCAACCTAGCCTAAACTAACCGTGCTTAGTGAAATATTATTCCAAATTATAAGGGAAACAATACAATTCAAATTTATATCTATATCTATATCTATCTTATTTACTGAGAAAATTTTTTAATTTTTAATTTTATCTCTAATTATTATAATAAAATTAATTATACCTACATATATACTTTCATCTCATTTTTGTTATTTTTACTCTTATTTGACTTTCAATATGATTTGAATTATTTTATAAAATTTTTTAAATTCTTTTAAACTTATTTATTAGTAGTACAATTACATATAACATTTTATATCTATATCTATATTACTTTAAAATGTGAGGATACTTGAAAAATATTTATTTTTCACTTTCACCCTTCAAAGTCACAATTATCTCATTCCCCTCCCCCTCTCTCTCTCTTTTTCCTCTGTAAAAACCCCCGACGTTCCCCTCTCTCCTTTTTCTCCGTCGTTCTCAATATGCGTTACACTTAATTACGTCTCTCTCTCTATTGCATCTCAACGGTGCCCATTTGAATTCTGTCCAATTACTATACCAATTACCGAATCCCTCTCTCTTTATGTTCGTTCAAAAAGAAAACGAAGGTCTCTCGCATTTTGACACCTCAATTGTCTTCCCCAAGGTTTGTAGTGGTGAAAATCTCCGATGCGGTATGGTGATCCATACTCAATATGTTTTGGTTCTTCTCACCAATTGGTTTTGCTTTGTTTTGCTTGCTGCCATTCATTTGCTTTAGAGTGATGCTA